TATTTGTGAAGTTGGGTGAATATCATTCGAGTGATCTGGATATTGTATGTGGAGTGCCTCAGGGTTCTGTTTTGGGACCTAAATTATTTATATTATACATTAACGATATATGCAAGGTTTCGGATTTAGTGAAAGTGGTTTTGTTTGCTGATGACACTACCATATGGGCATCTGGGGAAAACCTACAGCAACTCTCTGGACGGGTTTCACAGGAACTTGAGAAGATAAAGAAATGGTGTGACAGATTTTGTATTTCCATAAGTGGGGTAAAACTATGGAATAATTTAAGTGTGGACATAAAAAATAGTAATAGAATTGATAAGTTTAAACATAAATATAAAGGTATGTGTCAATCAAGATATATGCAAGAACAGGCTTAATGATTAATTAGATGGAACATTGTGGATGTGGTGTATGAATGTTAATACTCTGTAATAATTATTTAATATATTACTTGTGTGGCGTAGAAGATAATTATTTAAGAATATAATTATGTAAGAATGTTAACACTGTTAGCATTTGTTGGATATGTGTAAAATTATGTGTGTTGACATATCAACTGTCTTTACATGCTTGAAAGAATAAATCAAATCAAAAAAAATTCAAAAATTCGACCTCAAAGTCAAATCTTTCTTTTGACAAGCCCTCTTATACTGCCGCTTCATTGGAAATATGAATCTGTGTACTTCAATACTGTACCACATACAGTAGCTGCATTTTGAGGGACACTGGAGATGAATAGGTGCTTTATATCTATTCACTAATTCACATGGATAGGATGCCAGGCTAATGGGTAAGTGTGTCAGAACAACTAGCCTGGGGCATCAGGAGAGTGCCTCCATCAGCTGTAGGTGCAAAATTCTTGCACGAGTTTGTCACTGGAGGATGAATGACCGGATTAATAACCTATTTCTGTTCTTTTGTCATTGAGGAATATGTGCACTCGGGCTGTAGGCTCTGCAGCTCTAGGAAGTAATAGTCCTGGGTTGTGGAGTTTGCTTCATCGGCGAGACAATGCATAAGTACACCTCCGCTGCTGCGCTGAAGTTCAAATGCAGACGAGTCTGATGATAAAAAGCCAGCAGAAAGAAAACTTTCAACTTGACTTTAAAATGAGCATTCCTTTGCTTCACAACAATTTCAAAGGCCTTGCGCAGATTTAACATTCTAGATTATCTGAGGACTTCAGGGGCACCGAGCGCCTGTGATGACAGAAGGCAAAAAAAGAAAGCTGCCCTGAACCTTGACCCATGCTCTTCAAGTGTAGGCAGTGATGAATAATTAATCTCAATCCTCTTCTTTCTCTTTATCCGTGTGAATGACCAACTGCACTCAGCAGTTTCGCTATGTAAGTCGAAAAAGAAAAGACTCAGAGAAAGGCACAGAGGCAAATGGTTGGCTTCAGCTGACAGATAGGCCAAGAAAGACAGATGGGGAGGAAATTATTTACTTTTGGAGGAGGTAAACATGCAACGGTAATGCCAACACCACACAGTTAGTGTAAAAACCCACTTTGGTGTGTCAAGTTTAAAAATTCAAGTTGTCAATCAGAAGCTTGCGTATTGTATCCTCATCTCTGAGTTGAGATCACCTAAATCATGAGGCCAATCATTCAAAGCCAAGCATCGGAAACAACCCGCCAGAGCTCAAAACAGGTCACATGTCAGCTGCTGACATCCCACCGCTCTGCATCCGCTTTCCTCAAGGTGACAAGATTGCGATTTTCCACCACTGCCCTGTGTCATGTTGTGTTGATGTGTAGCATCATGCACTGAACATGTTGCTGACGGTCCACAGTGTCAGTCAAGCTTGGAAACACAAAAGAAGCAGGAGGAACAGATAGTGAAAGAATGTCTGAAACGCTGCAGTTGGAGTCATTAGAGGTCACTGAAACTATACTGTAGAGCGTTGAGTACATTAATGGGTAACTGTGGCCTGGTCACATCTCAAAGCCTTTATAAAACCTCTACAAGCAACATCTTTTTCTGAATGTGCCATAAAATGTGTTTACTGTATGTTGCCATTGAGCTAGATCTACTTACCCCCCTCTGTAAAGTTCCATATCAAAATTGTTTTTAATAAAATCCTCAGTGTTTCTCATCATACGGTGAGACGTCCTGGAATCCTGGATAATTTATTATAAGTGAATGATGATCAGTTTTAATTATTGCAACCTTGTACCTAAGAAGTTATCTTTTCCCATCAGCTTGCTTTGACTAATTGCTCTAAAAACAATACAAATGAGCCTCAGCCACTCCTGTTATAAAGTAGCCAGAGGCATGAAATAACTGAATTAATCTAAAACTGATCACAAATCTTAAACTGCTAAATTTATGATCAGGTTTCAACTAAGCATACTGTATATTTTAGCTTCTGCTTCCACATGAAACTGAAATTCAAGCTTTGATTGGACATGTCATACTTAAATGCACCATTGGAGCTCTAGTCAGCTTCTCTTTCTTGTATGTGTACAGTACACAGGTTTACAGCTTTGCACATAAAAAAGTGTTTTGTAACTTTTTAACATGGACATATATACAATAGACATGTGGTCACCATTTCCCTTCAAGATACAAAAATGAAGCCAAAATACTGTGACTACCATCTTGCTTTTTTTGCAACCACATTCTGTGCAGGAGCGACCAGAAGAGGAGGGACAGCATCAGGCCGCCAATCAAAGCTGTCAGATCATCCGAAATACTTCCCTTTTTTTACATCATCTAATAAGTTATTAAAACAAACTTACCAGAAAAGTGATCACTTGTACACACGTCAGCATGATAATATCTACCAATAACCACACAAGTGGGAAAAATTTAACTGATTTGTCATTAGAGTTTCTAGTGTGGCTCATGTCCCAATGACTAATAAAGAGGAGGCGGGATGAATGACCTTATACTACAACTAGCCACGATGGATGCACACTGGGGATCTTGTGGTTCATGGCTGTCACCCTAACCTCAAGGCCAAAAGGACATATACTCTGTCCATACAAGCCTCCGCTGCCCAGTCACCCAATTACCTATGCGATAAATGAATTAGACTTCTACTCCCAGACCCCCAGCACGGCGAAAATAATTCCACTGACTTTGTACTTTGAAGTTTTCAGAGGTTGAAGTGAATATACTGCATTTATTACTGTAATAAATTGTAGGAAAATCCTACTTTTTGTCTGTTTTTAGGTAGCGGGAGTAGTTGTTTTTTCAGCATCTCAGGAGATAGAAGTTAAATCCTTTACTACTCATCAGACAGAACTTTAAACCGCCACAAACCTCTGAGCGCTCCGACACGGTGAGAGCAGGTGATTACTGTCTTGCCTGTGGCTTCACATTAGATGTGAATCTGTGTCTCTATGTGTGATTGTGCAGATGTCTGTAGTGAATTTCCGTGTATGCAGGTACGTGTGCTGTGTCACTGTATTTCTGTGTGTGTTTCAGTGAGTACAGCGTGCCCTCTCAGAGCAACTCAAACTGGATGAGGCGGAGGGGCCCGTAGGGGTTGGTAAAAATAGCCCCGAGGCTGATTAGGAGTGAGGCGATGAGAGGGGATTTTAAAATCCTGTTCATTACTGCACCTGTAAGGCCTCTTTAAGTAGCCCTTCTGCAGAGCCCAGATGCTCACATCTGCCAAGAGTTGTTCGCCGGGCCCATAAACTCCTCTCATGCATCCTCCTGGGGGAGGACATCACAACACAAGACGATGACAATAGTGGATAAAAACTCTGGCCTCAATACATCCCACAACACAAAAGTTACTTTATCTATGCTAAAGCAGCATGCTGCTTGAATTTTTAATGAGATCCTCGTTTCGCTGCTACCATTCTCCATATGGAGCAGGAAAGTTTTCCATTTAACCTCCAAATTAAAAGCTACCTTGATTAAAATGTAAGCCTAAGCTTTCCTCCAGTTTTCTCGTGTGGAGGCTATAAATGGTGTAAAGCTAAGGAATATTTTATGGCCAACTTCATTCCCTGCACACCTAAATGAAAAACTGACACAGTCTACAAAACAGAAATGACTGACTACACCTTTAAAACCATAACGCAAACAGCTCGACCACGGTTGATTAAAGTTGTCCTCTGCAGAGGGTACACAAGCTCCCTGAGAGCGGTGCTTGGCGCCGTTATTGAACCAGCAATCTGTGGGGTCTGAAGAGGCTACACCCCTCTGTCAAAAGTACAGCTATGAAGTCTGAGCCTGCCCTGACCCCGGTTGACTCCCATCAGCCCTCCTGCTGGGACAGTAAAACAAACTAACCCCCCATAGACAGGCTGCTTAGAAATGCGCTGTACTGAAGCCTGTCCCTGGATGCCTGTTGGAGGGAGTGACAGAGGAAAAGACAGATACAGTAAGAAAACAGACGTGCACTGTGAGAGCTGTGAGTAAATGAAAAACTAGTTTCATAAGTGATTACCTCTTGTTAAGTTATATCAAAAAGGTTTTCATACACCTGTAATATGATGCCAGCCAAGAAAAAATATGTGCAAGTGGTGTTTTTCTTGCACTTGAATTACAGCAATCTACTTTGTAGCAGTGTTTTTACAGGGATTTTAGTTTTGACGTTTGGATGTTGATTGATGTCAGTTCTGTAGGTGAAATAGTTGTATACTGTGTTTGGTTCCTAATGTTTTGGCAAACAGCTGGACATAGATTCAGTTTACAGGGTGGTAGACTATTTGATGATTCTGCCATGTTTTCTTCTGTTTGACTGTTTTCAAAGTAATTTAAATATTTCCTTTAATCATTCCAACTCATGTGCTATCTGCATGTAGAAATACCGTATAAACTCCATCCAAGTTCGATACATTTAAAGTATTTCATTAGTGCAATTAATATTATGATTATTGTTGAGAGTGACAGGATGGTTTATTATATATTATATTGTTATTATCTAAAAAAACAGTGGAAGTGGACTGTTATTTTAGTGCTGTTAAAGGTAGCAAGAGTGTTGGTTTGCACGCACAGTTAAATCAACACAAGCAAGTATGTATGCTATGTTGTTTTATTTGCCATGTTTCCATCCTGAGGAGGTCACCTGAGCCTTGCCACCATCATTCAACACTTTTATATTCACACTTCTACACATTCTTGACTGAAATCAGCTCAGCACAAATACAGCCACCTTGTGCTCGTAAACACAATCTTTCCATGCTTCAATCTACCGCCCATCCTTCATCTTTTGTATCCACTCTTTCTCCCTCACACACACATCCAGCCACAGCTGTAGGTTTTCGCCTAATCCCGCTGTCCTCTCATGTTATAACAGCTCTGAACTCCAGACCCTCTGAGAGAGGGGGTTCGCCCACGTCGTGTTTTCATAGACCGCAGCATCTGGACCTGGACACGTCACTCCTGTGGTGTCCCCTGTGCGGTCAAGGACACACTAGAGGATATAAAAAAAAAGAGTCAACATATATCACTTGTTAAAGATAATATGATTGATGAGTGGGTGATAACCTAATGAGAGAATCTGAGGAACGGTTCAGAATCTGTGTGGACTCTTGCAGATTTCAGAAATCACACTTTTATTTCTTTCTAACATTGGTCTGTTTTTGTGTTCAGTTCCAAAATTCTACATTATGCTGTTTAAAGGCCCCTTTATTTTCTTATCTCACTTCATTTCATCTCTCTCTCTTCTCCTCCAGGATCACAGTCCTCCTGACTTGCTTTGTCCAGAGCACACAAACATATTTTCTGTGATGTCTGCCAGCTGCTTGGCTTAGTTTGGCTCACCATAGCTCAGCTAAAGCTTCAGTTTTTCTGTAGAACACTGCTGAACTGTCCACCCCGCTGAAACAATCAGCTGGTCCTCAGCGTTTTCCAGGCATTTCCTGGGTGACCTGAGCAGCATGCATCCCTCCCTCCCCTGCATCCTGCGGCTCCTAGCTCCTCGCTGGCTCTTCCTGCCTGGTTTGGAAGGTCCTAAGAGGGGTCAGAGTGGCCTGGTGCTCAAGTGGGAGCCATGCTGTGGATATTTATTATTTCATTTAAGTCCTCCCTTTGCTCTGGAGAGTAGAGGAACCGCTGATGTCTAACAGAGGCTGAAGGATAGTTCACAAGGTGACCATGTGAACTGTTGAACCCTGAAGCAGGGCAGGGGTTGTGTGTGTGTTTTTATATTTCGTGTGCCCCCTGAAGAGTTTAGCAACTATGACTTTATGTCACATGATAAATTCAAAAAAGAACCTGTGAACGAGTGGTTGCACACAAATACAGACATACTCAGTCACAGATGTGCAATTTGGGAGAGGGATGTGTGGTGCCTTTTAATTGCATCATTTATTTTATGTTACTTGGCAACTGTACTGAAACACCTTTACACCTTCGAATTCCAGGGTCTTATAACCGGTGTCTTTTTTGTAGTTCTGGCCACTGCTGCTATCCGACTGTACTCGGTGAGGTAACCGCAGAGATCCAGGTACAATAGGGCAAGTGAAGGGCGAGTAATCAAATAACCTCGTAAAACTAAGCTAAACAGTTTTTAAAGACAATACAAAGATGAACAATAAAATGATTGAGCAATGTTTGTTGTAAACATCCATCACACTTAAGGCAGGAAATATAGCTATGATAAACATAAATGTCTTTTCAGATCTGCACAGTGAAGGTCTCTCTAGGTCATGACCAGTCACAGATGTCTGCAGAAACATGACATACACAACTCTGCAAGTCTCAACAATGCTTTGTGTGGCTCTGTGTCTCAAACGAGTTGATTCACTGATCCAGCATTCGGTCAGGTGGGGAATAAAAATAGAAAAGGAAAAAAGAATACATTCACATCTGTAAAAGTGCTAAAGAAATGGCCACAAGAATGTCTTTGGACAACACCCACGCACTGCAGCCCAGGGACACATGTTCTAGTCTTTACAGACTAAACTTTGAGCTGCTGCAGTGCACGCAAAGGTTTTGCTTTGCAATCAGATTACAGGTTTTTTTTTTGCTTGTGCTCATATCCAGTTTTGCCTCCAAATAAAGTAGTTATGATAATCAGTTACCTTGTTTACAACCTGTCTGATCATCTGACATGCTTGTGTTTCTCGCCCTCTTGGAGTTTGTTGTAGGAATGTTGCCATGTTTCCAGATCTCAGCAATGACTTTAGTGAACCCAAAATATGCCACAACCACAAAAAAACTGAAAACAAGACCAAAGTTGCATGAAGCTACAAAAAGTTACACTCCTCTCCTCCTTTAATCTCAACTCATATTTAAATCCCTTTAACAAGCAGCAGTTCGCTGGTGGGTCAGTCATTACAAACTCATGCTGTGCAGCCAAACATCATTCAAATCCACTTTATTTTAAATTCTTCTAGAGCTCCCAAAGTTTCCAAAGGCAGCAAATATACCGTCTAAAACTTTTGGGAAATGTGTATTCAGTGATGCACTAGGCATCTAGAAAATCTGATGTCGTAGTACAGCCATAAAAAACAAACAAAAAAAACCAAAACCATGGTTTGAATATCTGGCTTAGTGAAAACACACCTGGAAAACTGTGTTAAAGGAATTTAACATACATAAATTTAGAGTCTGCTTTACATGCAAGTACTTGTATACAAATAATATGTAATTTGTAAATGTCTGGTTGATTACAGGTTTATGTTTAGTGCATTAGCCTACACAACCCATCGTCTGTGTGTCTGAGTATGTGCTTATTTTCATTATGTGTGTATGTGTGTGTGCACAGTAAACTGAGGTTTAACCTGTTAAGGGAAATTTCACTGCAGTCTGGCCAATATCAGCTCCTTCCCCAAAGCCAAATGGAGACTGGCTGGGGAGCCGGGGCACGACAAACCAAAGCAGCCCAGAGTCCTAACATCATTACGGGACTGAGAGAGGCAATAAAGCCAAGTCTCGGGAGATTACCTCTGCTGCAGCCAGCGTTCAAACCCACTGCTTTCTGTTTTGTGCTGTGATCTTTTTGTCCGGTCTTGTACGACAACATGATAGATGATTTAGTCTTGTGAACCCATCCTGGTTTTCATCACCTGGAGAACGCCACTGATACATTTATATGTCACTGCTTATTGTGAGTGTGTGCTACAACCTCGGGACAAAAGAAAGGAGTTTTTACTAGAGTGACTACAGGCTTAATTTCAGATCACAACATGTCAGCATGAATGTAAGCTGCCTCAGTACAAAGAAGGAACAGATGAAGGTTTCGCTTAGCAGAACAAGACAAGGATGGATCCCATCTGCAACCAGTTGCTGCTGAGGAGGAGGGAGATTAATGATTTTCCGAACATGATGAATGGCTGAGATCAGTGATGACAGGTTTTTGAGTGACAACTTACAGGTGTAGACCCTTCCAATTGCCAAAACTCTTAAACGCTACACTAACTCCCCTCCTTTCTCCCACGGAGGAAATGAGTGCGACAGCCGTTTTTGACCGCCATTGCCTTTTCTACCCAGCCAGCCGCGACGGCATGCCCTGCCTGAGGTTATTAGGCAATGTGTGACCTCTGACCCTATGTAATAAGCATGGTTTGCCATGTCTATAAAGTGTGGCTGTCAGTAGTCACCAGCTGAATCCCTTGGACTTTGATGCTTGTTGGCTGCACTCAGTCTTAACCAAGCAGAGAAATAGTTAAGCTGTCACACATCAGAAAGGACAAGTAGCAGCCTTTTGTGCAACACAGTACCAGTTGGCCTGATTGTTGAGACGAAAAAGGAAAATCAAAGGGCTGTGAAAACAGCTGCAGATGGGGTTAGGGTTACAAAACCAAGATGACGAGGACCAGGCCGTGCCGTGGTCATTTGTGGGAGACTGACTGTCGAAGTTTTACAGCCATTACGGAGTGACTGATATTCAAGTTTTGACAAGACTTCACCTTTCACTAACTTTTTCCATCGATGTCGCTTCTGATCTGGAGTGGCATCGAAACTGAGGTGATGACTGAGAATACACGGAAACCTTATTAATACACAGTCATTTCATTTCTCACGGTTCCTTCATGCAAACATTCCTACTGTTTTGACTATTTCTTTATTGTCAGTCACAACACGGTGTTTGATGTGCTGGCTGGTTTATTTATTCAGAAATTAATTTTGCATAGTGATAAAATTATTTAACAGTAATATATCAATTTTTTAAATTAATCATATATCTATAAAATGTCTGGAAAAAAAGGAACCAATCTCACAAGTTTTCTAAAACCTATGGTGACATCAAATTGCTTGTTCTGTTCAACCATCAGTTCAAAACCCAAAGATACTCTGCTTAATATCAACTAAGAGAATTAGAAGAATTTATAATTTAGAAACTGAAACTAGTTCATGTTTGTAGCCTTTGCTTTTAGTGATTAGTCAATTATCAAAATAGTTTTCCATTAATCAAATAATCAAATAACTGTAAATTCTAACAGATGAACAAATCCAGTACATCAATTAAAACTTGTTACTGAGTGACTGATCATCATATACATATATTTATGACAGTTTGGGGTGGGGATCCTTGGCAAACTCACGATTCAATTAGATTCTTGGTGTCACGATTCTCGATTCAAAACTATTCGAAACTGGTCACCAAGTTGAAGCGGGTATCCCATGACCAGTAGTAGCAGCAGTAGCAGCAGCAGCAGCAACAGCAGGTGAGCAAGTTGTTGCTTTACATGCCAGAATAAGGAGAAGAACCCAAAAAACACTAGGATAAGCCACATAAAGGTGAAATTTGTGTTTTACTGGAGGTGTTTTTCAAACCTTCTGGTCTATTTTTTCAAGAGAAAATACTTAATAGTGGTTACAAAGTGGTTAGTTTTGCATATGCGCAGCCGGTTTGTTACTCCAGCTACATTAAAATGTTGTGCACAGCCATGTCCCGAATGTTTCTGCGAGACATATCCAGGACTCTCTCAGTCCTAAACGGGGCTAGTATTGCCTTCCTCTGGCAGTATTTGCACACTGTTCAGCGTTTGTCAGTTTCCTTTCCACCCATTTCTTGAAAAGCGGAAACTGAACTGTTGCCACACAACAGTTCTAAACATTGATGAAGGAGAATCTGCTATGTCAGTTTGAAATTCAGTGACTTGAATGCAGTTATATTAATGAAACAGCCATAATCATTATCCTGGTAGATAAGGTCACAGTCCCATGACATCAGAGACTTTTTTCTACCACAATATTGCTAAATCACAAATAGTTACATCCTTAATTATTACACAAATAGATCTTTAGCATTTGTGAATCAATTCAGAACCATAGAAGATAGGAATAGTGATTTTTATGTGAATCCATTTTTTCACCCACCCCTATTACCAACACATCACTCTAAAGGACAGCAAACAGTTTTTTACAAGTTGATGGCATTAATGTTGTGAATGCTGCCTACTGTAAAAGTCACTTGTATGACTACTGTAAGAGTCTGAAAGAGCAGGGGGTTAAAAGGAGAGG